TCTTTCTTTCTCCTTCCTCCTTCCTCCTTTACCTCATCCCAGTTGTCCCTTCATTCTGAGCAGTTTCTTTCCCTTTTACAGCATCTACTGTACCTTTCAGATTGTATTTATTCTTTCAAGTTCTTATGCCAGGGAGACATTATGATGTTAACATATGTGGGTTTGATTAATTTCGCTTATGAGTAAGGTTTCTGGTTGCATCCACTTACCCATAAAGCCTTGAGTTTATCTTTTTGTTGTTGTTGTTTTTCTAGAAATTGAACTTAAGGCCTCGTGCTTGCCAGGCAAGCTCTATACAAGTTTATCTTTCTTTTTTATACCTCAGTGATACTCCATCGTATAAAAACACCACATCTTTTTAATCCATTCTTCAGTTGATGGGCATTTGGGTTGTTTTCCAGATTTAGCTTTGACAAATTGCACGGCTAACAAGACAGGTGTACATGTATTGCTGGGCTATGTTTTTAGTTCTTCTGGGAAAATACCCAGAGGGAGAATACCTGGGTTGATTGGGACTTCTAATCCTAGGTTTTGAGGAATCTCCACACTGATTTCCACAGTGGTTGGACCAGTCTACACTCCCACCAACAGTGGAGAAGGGTTTCTTTTCCGCCACAGCCCCTCCAACATTTGTTATTGGTTGACTTCTTGATGGTAGCTATTCTTTCTGGGGTGAGATGGAATCTCAGTGTTTGTTTTAATTTGCATTGCTTTAATGACCAGTGATGTTAAACATTTTCCAAATATTTATTTGACATTTTTATTTCATCTGAGAAGTGTGTATTCATATTAAAAATTCTTTATATGTTCTAAATAGAAGTCCTTTGCCTAAGGGACAGTTGGCTAAAATTTTTTTCCCTATTTGAAGGTTTTGTTTTTATTTTGTTGGTGATTTCTTTGCATTAAGATGATAATCCCATGTTTGTTTGTTTTTTTGTTGTTGTTGTTTTGTTTTGGTACTGGGATTTGAACTCAGGACCTTTTGCTTGCCAGGAAGGCACTTATACCACTGAGCTATATCCCTGGCCCAAGAATGGAAAAGGATATACAATGAAAATCATCAACACCAAAAAAGAGCTGGAATGGCTGTATTGATCTCAGATAATACACACTTCAGACAAATGTTACTAAAGGCAGAGAAGCAAAATTTATTCCCTAAAATAGTCAACGGATGTGTATGTACAGTGGAATATTGCTTAGCCTTTAAACATAAAGAAATTCTAACATACACTAAACATGAATGAATCCTGGGGACACTATGCTGAGTGAAATAAGCCAGAAAAAAACACAAGTAATGTAGGATTCCACTCAGATGAGGCACTGAGCGCAGTCACCTTCACAGAGACAGGCCATAGGATGGTGGTGCCAGGTGCAGTGCATACCTGTCATGCTAGTAATTACAGGGCTGAGGTAGGCAGAGTGCTGTGAGTTTGAGGCCAATTTGGGCTGTGCAGTGGGTACATGTCACACCATCTGTAGGAGTTCCAAATGGGCCACAAACCTAAATAAAAGATCTATGAAGCCCTCAGAAGAAAAGAAGGACATAGATGACCGTTACGTTGACTTAGGCAATGATGTCTTAGGACATCAAAAGCACATATGACCCACAAAATGGGAGAACATACTTGCAGATAATATGCCTGATAAGTTATTAGAATTCAGAATATATCTAAACAACTAAAAAAAAAAAAAAACACACACAATAAAAGACAACTAACCCACTTTTTGAAATGAATAGGCCTTCCTCCAAAGAAAATACAATGTCTAAGTTAAGATGGCTCAATCTACACTTTTTTTTTTTAACCTTATGATGATACAAACATAATATGTATGCAGTAGAAATCATACTTTTTTTTACTTTTTTGGTGGAACTGGGGACTGAACTCAGGCCCTTGCACTTGCCAGGCAAGTGCTTATTCTACTGAGCTATCTCCCCAACCCAGAAATCATACTTTGAAATTTGATCTTTTTTATGACTAATGATACTGGTACAACACTTTTTCTTGATGTTGGTCAAACTAATGATCCACACCTCCCAATCAGCCATGTGATCACCAAAGTAAGCAACTAATATTTTGGGTTAAGTTATTAAATGCATTTTTAACTTAATGACCTTTTCAACTTACCATGGCTTTACTGAGATGTAACCCTTTATAAATTGATGGTGAATATAAAATGGGTAAGAAGCAGGTAAAAAGATGCTAAACATCACTAGTTATTCTGGAAATTCAAATTCAAATTATAATAAGATATAGCTTCTGGGGCCGGGGAGATGGCTCAGTGGAATAAATGCTTGCCTGGCAAGCGCAGAGACCTGAGTTCAATCCCCAGTTCATTTTGAAGTATAAATTTTATGGTATGAGGGTTGGGGAGATAGCTTGGCAGTCTTAAGTGCCTACCTGGCAAGTGCAAAGAGCCAGGTTCAATCTCAGGTACCTCATGCCATGCCAGACCCTGAATCCTGGGCATGCCATGCTTGCCAGTGAAACCAGGCATGGTGGCACACTCCTGTAATGCCACCCCGGCAAGGCCTAGACAGGAGGGTCACTATGGGTCTGAGCTGTGTAGCAAGACCCTGTGCCAAATAAATAAATAAATAAATAAGATTTTAAAAATGTATGGTATGTTCATTATAGGTCAATAAAAATAGCAATAATAATGATAAAAACTTCAAGCAGAAGGGCTGGCCAAATAGCTCAGCAGATTAAAGCACCTGCTTAGGCAAATGCAGGGACCCAGGCTGTGATCCCTGGGCCTGCTGTGCTGGCCCCACCCCTGGGGCACACTGAGACAGAGATTGAGACTGGGTTTGGTAGGGCACGCCTGTAATCCCAGCACTTGGGAGGCTGTAAGCTGGAGGATCACTCTGAGTCTGATCTATGTTGTGAGACCCTGTAGACTCTGTACTAAATACATTAAAACAACAACAACAAACTTCGAACAGACTACCTCTACAAGGTAATAATGTATTTGAGAGAAAGCATTTCCATTTTAAGTTTGTAGATTGGTGGGTTGATTGGTAGATTTTGGGTCAGGAAAATAAATATTTGGGTGCCTCTGGCCATTGGCTAAGTAGCTGGGAGTTTTGATCAGGATTATCTCTAATTACACTGCCAAGGAAACAGCCATCCCAGAAATGCTCTCAATGGTGAGTGGTGTTTTTATGTCAAGATGCTAAACCAGTAGGAATTGAGATATTTTTCAAACTGCAGCCCACAACCCATCCATAGCAGATAATGAAATTAATTCCAATTTTCTCTCAATGAAATAAAATTTGAAAATTGGAAAATCAGGGGCCAGGGAGATGGCTCAGTGGCATAAGCGCTTCCCTAGCAAGCGCAAGGGCCTGAGTTCAATCCCTGGTTCTGCCAAAAATAAAAATAAAAAATAAAAATTGGAAGATCAGAATGTATCATGCAAGATAAGCTTTGTTTCATGGTAATTTTGCTTCCTGTACATAGGGACACATTTACATCTACCATACCATGGTATAAAAGGTGCTCCTGTGTATTATGATAAAGAAATTCTTTTTTTTTTGGTAGAACCAGGGATTGAACTCAGGCCCTTGCACTTGCCAGGGAAGAGCTTATTCCACTGAGCCATCTCCCCAGCCCCAATAAAGAAATTCTGAGAAACACCAATTTGGTTGTAAGTGCTTGTGAGAAGAGTTCTTAAATTGAATCGGTATGTAGAATTGATAGGAAGTTGACTGTAGGAAGGAAAGATCCAGTTATCGCGGCTCTAACAGTTATACTGTCTCCCGCTCTCATTTGCAGTGATCACTTAGCACGACGGACTCTTCACTACTCTGATCCTTCTCCCCGGATTTTGCGGCTCTCAATAGCCAAGGGCACGGATCCAAACTACGTTCCTCCAAGAAGCGTGAGTGTTCTCGTGTGAGAGAAGTGGTTCCAGATCCACTTTGTGACACCATCCTTTTTTATTCTGAGGTGTAGATTTCCCTTTTCTTTCCACGTGTCTTCACCTTCTGATCAAATGAGGTTTTCTGATTCCCACCCTTATGCCTCATGTGCTGGTCAGGAATAGACTAGAGTGACATCCCAAGCAGTTGTGGGAGCTGGTGGGGATGTGGTTGGGAGGTTGTGACCAAAGCTTGGATATGGATCTGAAGAGACAGAGGTACGGGGGTAGGTAGACGGCCCCCTGGAAGGCTCCTGGGCCCATGACCTCTGACCTCCTTGGGTGGCAGTACTATGGCAAGCAAAAACATTGTAATTACACCCAGGATTTGGAGGTAGATTTATTTATGTTTATAGGCACTGATCAGGGTAATTCCCAAAATATCAGGCCCCAATCTTGGTGGTCTAGGGCTTAAATGGGATAAGCAAGCAGGAAGCAGAAAGGCTTGTCAATTGGGGATTGGTTTACACAATGTGCATCACAGTGACCAGGCATTTCTAAGAGACAACAGCAACTGGAACTGGAGCAGGAACTACTGCCAGGGCAACTAAGAAACCCAATTACGCCAGCTGGAAGGGTAGGACATTTTCTGTTACAGCAGGATTGATTATAATGGGTAAGAAAGTGTCAGCAGTAGATAAGGGTTTAAAAATCCATTCACTGGGTTCAACCCATAATGTCCCATTCAATTTTATTTTATTTTATTTTTTTTTTACTGAGAAAAAAGTATATATTTAGAATTAGCCAGCTGGAC